TGCCACCTTCAGTGCCTTGGTTCTTTCTTCCTTCCTTCCTTGCATCTCCTTTTTTATTGGCTGTATTCTGTGTTGTGCTTATGGGAAAATTAACTTAAAGTGAGTTCCTCCTTTTTTTTGAAAGAGGAAAATTTCTGCTATTTTTATTGGTTACTCCAGTAAAAAAATCTCTAAAACCCTTCCTTGTGAGAAGACTTACTCTTGTAATCTCAATACAAAAGTTTAATGGCCCAATTCCTGAAGATACTGGTGACAGGCAAAGTTCTTTGAGACCAGTCTCAAGACAAAAGGCTAGTATGAGGAACTTGAGTTGGATTTAGCATTGGAGAGACCTGTATAAGAAACAAGTGATCAATGTCCTCTTACCACCAAGTGATCAATGTCCACCACCATCTGCCTTTGGTGGTGAACAAAATGAGAAGGAGTGTCATTCATTGGGAATACAAAGCATCCCTTTTCTCTGCCATGGTCACTTCTGTTTGGCAGTGATGAGACGGGTTTTCGGCACTGAGTAGGTGCTTTTCATTGATATGAAATCCATTCGTATGGATAGTGGAGTTCATAGGTAGCCTTCCTCTAGAATTGATTTTTCATTTCTATTTCTTTTTGGGTGGGTGAAAGTAGCAAATTGTATTAAAAATATTTTAAATTTGGAAACAAGTATGTTAACATTTTTTTTGAGATTTAAACAATGGGGGGAAATGACTGCAGCTATTCTGCCTTTACCTGTGGCCAGGATGTATTGAATATTTTCTCAGCATGACTGAAACACAGTCTGATAGTGTCCCTCAATGAGCAATTCCAGTGCATAGGTGGAAGGGGTTACCTGAGTCATCCAGTGCCCACCGTTGCTAGCATCCATGTTTGGTCTGAAAGGGCTTGCACAGCTCCTGGTGCATGTGTTGGCAAAACTTGTTCCATCTCTCACCTCCAAATGTATTTCCCTCGCTGTGTAAGAAACCTGAGGTCTGTAACGAAAGACTGACAAAAAGCCACAGCTCTTATAGCTCAGTAGGAGAAGCCAGAGAGATCATGGATGTCACCAATTTCTATGATAGTAAAAAATGAGAAAAATTCCCAGATGATTCTAGAAAGTGGGATGATAAATGAGTAAGATGTGGCTGCAGTCATACTTGTTTGTGCACAGAGGGGTGGAGAGGTAATTCCAGCTGCACCATCTCTAGCTGGGGATACCCTTGAGACTAGAGAAGTAACGTGACTTCCCGAGGCATCTGCATACCTACCCACTTGTGGATTGCACTGGCTTTGCCTTGAAATGCTCCTTCCCCATTCTCCTGAGGGCTGCTTTGTCATACCCGGTGTGTTCATTAGCTGAAATTGATAAAGACCAAGTAAAAAAACAGATGACTGTTTTGTATTGAGTAAACAGAACTAAGCTTTGTAGCCCTGCAGATGGTACATTCATGTTCTGTTTGGTTTTATTCTTTGCATTATTTCAAACTACATTTGAATAGCCAGAAAATGCTATGTGTTGGGTTTTTTAAATGGCTATCATTATTTATTTATTAACCACTATGTATTTCTCATTTGTGACACTAGGATATTGATGAAGAAATTGAAGCTGAATACAACATTTTGAAAGCTCTCTCTGATCATCCCAATGTAGTCAAATTCTACGGCATGTATTATAAGAAAGATGTGAAAAATGGAGACCAGCTTTGGCTAGTTCTTGAGGTAAATAATTCAGAAAAATAAGAGTTTTCTTCCATTTGGCATTCCTATGTTGAGTATAAACTCAATGAATGAGATGCAAGCCATTTGTTTGATGTTTTTCTTTAGAGCGGTTGCATGTGAAGTGACAAATGCTGTTGTTTAGTCTTTTCAGTGTTCTGAATTAATGGTCTACTCTGAGTTCAGCATTCTTATTTTGGTATTCTACTGGTAGTGCTGTGCCTTCAGAATTAGGATATAAATTCTACTAGGACTTCATAGGATTTGCTACCTAAAATCTTTCTTTGGTGAAAGGCTTGTCACGGGAATCTTCCCCCAGCAGCATTTCTTTAAATATGACTAAGATATGACATAACAGTTAAAGAAACCACTGTGATGATTTTTTTTTCTAAATTAAATGATAGAAATTAATTAATTGATTTGCTTTTTTTGTGCAAGTAAATGCACAAATAGATAAATAAGCCAATAAAAACAGGCTACTGCCCAAATACTGTTGAAAGCAGCAGGATTTCCTCAAATGGAGTCAGAGCAAGGTAAGGCCTGTAATTTGTGTGTTTCAGTCTTTAGTTTTGCCTAATCTAGGAGCAAAGAGCTTGATTGTTACTGTTTTCACAGATTCACTATAACCTATTCTGCAAAAACTTCCTCCTCTCCCCAGAGGAAAATGAAGACGAATGTCCCTCACAGGAATAGTGTGCCTTTCATAACAATCAAGGCTCCTGCTGATGTTTGATCAGTGTTTGATAAGGTTGAGATTGAAGAATTGGTTGTGTTTTATGATTTGTCAGCTAAGTGAATACAAATCTCCTGCCAAATATCTCAATGATACAATGGTATCTAATCCTGGAAACAAGCTCTAAAAAAATGCTTAAATTCTAAAAGCTTTTCTAAATTCTTCTGACTTGCATTGGGAAGATGTTTTTAAGAATAGTTTGCATCGGAAATCATAATAAATTATTAGGTTAGACTGACATCAAAAGATGTCAGCTCTTTGTGCAGTGAGCATCTTTGAAAAGCTATGTTCTGTTGTGTCTGCTGGGCATTTGAAACTCCATCTGTGAAACTTCTGGCCTGTAAAGGATGGATGCCAAACAGCCAGGATGGAACAGACTGTGAGGAAACAGTCAAGTGTTTATATTTTAACTTTTATATTTCACATGGATTTATTTTCTTACTGTGAAAAACACAAGCCTACATCTGGAGTATAAGTTTTATATTTACTCTTTGCATGCCAAGCTGTACATGTGCAAGTGCTAGTATGGAGTGTGTGGAATAGTCTTGGATGCTTTCTGTCACTGCACATATAGATCCGTGAATGCAATGGATTTCAGTTGGGGTGTGTACACATAGACATGCATAAGTAGAAAAATAAATTCCAATGGTGACTTTGATGAAGCTTTCCTTTTAATAGAAGTGTCTGTGAAAGAAAACTGTCGTGGAACAGATTGCTCTGTTGAAGTATCACCTTCCTTTCAGCTTGTATGCAGTTTTACAGGGCCATTGCAGTTTGTTTTTCACAGTAGCTATTTAGGTGTCCTATAGTTTATAAGAACGAAGATATATTCATCATCTCCATTCTGTTTTGTTGGGGTTTTTTTTAACAATATATTTGTGTCTAAATTCATAAAGGTGATGATTAGTCTTTAGTTTACAGAGACCTCTGTTTCCATTGCTTTGGGATTTGGGCTGGATTTTTTATTTATTTTATCATAAAAGAGCATTTTCACTTCAGAACTGTTGCTTCCCCTGAGGAGGGGAATCCAGTCTTGAAATTTAGATTTGCAGAGTTTGATACCAAGGAGAAGATCTTTCTCATCTCCCTCTCTCAAAAAAGCTATCAACTAATCCCTGCAAATTCTGTGTGATCCTCTGAAATGAAGACGGACCTTTTGCACCTAGCCTGTTGATATGTTCCCAAAGACTGGAAGGACAAACAGTGTAGACCACTGCAGTTTGCATAATGTGAAGCAGCTTCCATAGTATCTGAGTGCAAAATGATGTTAAGGAGGAAAAGCAGAGAATCAGATGCAGACTATTGTGCACTGTAGTATTCTGGATTCCTGCAAAGCTGCAGCTGCCAGGAAGAGCTTACAGGAGCAGTGGGGCATTGAAAGCAGAGCTTGTTTCTCTGCTCTGTGATGGGATATGTGGGCAGGAGGTTTTGGAGGGCAAGTTTCTCAAATTCCACTAAGAACGGGTGGTGATAGATGGCAAAACTCAGCATTTAGTAATGGGCTTAGAGCTACCTCTGTAGTTTACCAACGAAGTTACTCTGTGGAGTGTTTGAATCCATATATGGAGATGTTATTAAATCATTTTTTCCTAGAGGAAAAAAATCCTCAGCTCTTTAAGACGTGTCCCATGCAATGTATCAACAGCAAGCCAGTCTGGAAAGAAAGATTGTTGCCAGGTTTCTTTTCTCCTAATTCAGTCTTCAACATTGGTTATATGAACTGTACTGTTCAATTCTTACACCTTTTTTAGTATATATAGTGTGATGATTTTTGACGTATCCCATAGTTTTTGGTAGCTGTTTTGTGTTGCACTTGATCATGTTTGGGTTTGGGGGAAAAGAGGCTAATCAGGTTTGAACTAGGCTAAGGTGAGTGGCTGAGGTACAGTTTTGAGGCCAAAACTGATCAAGTAGCTAAAAAGACTATCCTACAATATTGTACAGGGTTCTTGAGGGGTTTTAGTCCTGAATACTTGAATTATCATAAAATTATCAGACCTCATAAGTTACCACCCACTCTGAATACTGGAAAAGACCTTGGATGGGTTTATGATGAGATTATTGCAGTCTTGGTGTGAAATATTCCGCCCCACCTTCCATCTCTGTTTTCTAAAATGAATCTATTCTTACGTGATTTGGTAGCTGTTGAACCTGTACTCTCAAATTCTTGGACAAGATAGTTGGACATTCCATTTTTAACTAAAATTGATGCTTTAATTTGCTGCTCACTCTAAGGCATATGTCAACAGTGAAGCACTGGATGTTCACAATCCTCTGACTAGAAATCATTAAACCAAATGACTATCAAGAAATATTCACCTACAACTGAACGGAATTTGGAGCTGACCTATTGGTGTGAGTCATCTGACAGTTTCTATGTCTATAGAAGCCAAAACCTGTTGCTTCAGAATGATAGAAGTGATCTGTTGCAGAATAAGCCTGGGTAAACGTGACATTTCTTCCGAATCTCTTCACTTAATAATTGCCTAATAGCACGTGCCTTCATAGAAAATCTTTTTTCCAATTTGAAGTGAAATTCCTCATTTTCTACTGAACATTTGGATTTCATTTTCTGTGTTGTATTTCTCTGTCTCTGTGCTAATGTGCAAATTACCTAACTGATCTTGTAAAGCATTTTGAAGTTGCAGTGCTGTGAGCTGGAAGTATGCTTCTGAGAGAGTAGGAACTATTGTTCATTAATTTTTTTTCTGTTAAAATAAACAAATACTTTTTTGATATAATAAAGTATCAAGAGATATGTAGTCAATTTCGTACTTTGATTTAACCTTTCAGTGTAGATTTAATCAGTTAAACAACATGCATAATGATTACTTGGAAAAATAAACAACCTTTTTGCATAACATACTTCTGCGTGTGACACTCTAGTACAGTATTTGTAGAAGTGTAAAATTACTGTGTTGTGTTCATCTTAACACATACGGACCTAAATCTGAGACTAGTATAGACCATGAATTTTAACAAATAATTAAAGACTAGAGGAAAACTAATAATATGAGAGCTTTGAGTGTCATTAGCATCTTTTGGTCATAAAGTAACCTAACTTTCTCAGTTCGGCATTTGTAAGGAAACCACCTACAGGAATGAATGTGAAACAGGAATACATCTGTATGGAATAACAGTACTCTCGACTGTCAGTTCAGAAATGCCCTTCTCTCTGTAGGCTGCACTCAGATAGGCTGAACATCTGCCCCTGTGTGGATGCTATTCGAATCACATTTACAATAAAGAATATTGCTGGAGGGAAGATTCTTGCCAGGTGTATTAAGCCTTGTCACGTGTCCAGAGATGCAGGCAGAAGAAATTGGCCTACTGAGTCTGTGTTGAAAAGAAACCACTTGAGTATTATACTTGGGATGAATCAGCTTAGCAGTTTCATGTCAGCAGACATCAGCATGATGACATAGCTAAGGCAGAGTGTGCCATAGCCCATTTCTTTCTGCTCTGGATGTTAGTTCAGAAGGGAATAGATCCGAGATAGTTGGAAATCAGCTGATGGAAGATGGAGCAGAGATGTGACTCATATCAGGCCCTACAGGTGAGCATGTAGGTCAAGGGCAGGTGGGGAGAAAAGTGGCACAGCCCTTGACTGAGATCTGGTGCAAAGAACAACCTAGTCAAGACTGAGTGAAGGCTGAAAATACCACAGCAAGGTAAATGGTAGGTCTTACACAGCTTTTACTTGCTACTGTAAGCCAGAGGCCAAGAATCATAATGCAACAAATTTCTATAGTTCATTTCCTACACAGATCAGGTAGAACTTTAAGAAGCATCTCAGTCCATTTTCAAAAGACACATAGTTATGCATGCCATATTTGAGATGGATTTGGGTTTGTGAGTCACATAAGTAAACTAGTATATTTTATCATTCTCAATATATTTTTATGCTTAGGAAATAGAGGGAACATCCATTATTTTTATAGTTTAAAAAAAGATTTTGTTTTCATGAGTTAAAACTTAGCTTGGTAGGGAAAAAAGTTTGGATGGAGCGACTTCCCACCTAAAAATACAGTTTTGTAATATCAAAGCATTTGGTAGAAACCTCTCCATTTTTGGAGAGGTGTATGTCCATTTCTGGAGAAGTGGAGGGAATCACCAGGAAGTTATAGAAATAAATCCCTTTGTGCTGAATGTCAAGAAGCCTGTCAAAGCATTCTTTTTAGGTGTTTTGGTTCTCCTAGTGTGTACGTGAACATTTCAAGAACATTTGCAATGCCCTGCTGAGTTAGACCAATGGTCCATGTAACACAGC